TTTGTGATAAGAGATGATTGTGGTTGGTTAGTTTGTGGGTGGGTGGGTGATTTGGTTAGTGGTTAGATTAGTGGAAAGGTTGATTGACGGAGCGTTAATGTCAGTTGTATAATTCTTTTACACCTGTGTTAGGTTAGTTGGTTTGGTGCGTAGGTACGTAGGTAGGTTGATTGATGGGTGCATTTTCAATTTACAAGASTYTTTTATTTTGATTGGTTGGTTGACTCATTGGTACTTTATTCGTCGTTATTTAGTGCATTATTAATCTTTATCAATTAATCAATAAAACTATTATTAAAACAGACGATTATTGGAAGAAGTTCTTCGTCATAGACGACACGGCCATGTTACTGACAGACGTGTGTCGMACCATAGACAACATCGACCGTCATTTGGGATTTCGTCAGGCTGGAAAAGGAAGCAAAAACTCGCTGTATAAAAACCCTTCCATTTACAGCCCACTACCAAAAAAGGACAGCGTAAGTACTAACTGCACGACGAGTTTCCKGTGTTAATTGTTATCGCGGAATTAATAGGGAGCTTGAGCTCTAAAACACCGACGACGCAAATCGCAGAGTTAGTTGGTACAATATAATTTTAAATACATTGTAATGCTCAAATCATTTCACTTCACAGCAAGAATATGACAGAGTGTTCGAGTATCCTTCGATCAGTTTCACATCACCACTCCATTCACCTTCATGCCGGTCAAACAGCGTACAAGCTGTTCTTGTCGACTCTTGGAAATCCCCTTCAGAACAACAAYAACAACAACAACTACTAGATAAACCTGAAAAACCGGTTATACAAATCGAGAAGCAAAAGGACGCCGTCCCTAAAATCTACATGAATCACCTTGAGCATGCACATGTATACGATGGAGACCTGGGGCGAGAGGACATGCGCGCAAACAAGCGCTTTATGAAAAGACCTGAGTTTTTACGAAAAACCAGTGACTTGAGTACSTCAAGTGATCATATTGATAGAGGAATGATGTCTTTTGATATGCTGCAAACACGAATAAACAGCGTTGAAAGCTCACTGGATCAAATCTACGGGAAAGTCAAGGGTGAATTGCGTGACATCCGGGACACAATCAAGACGCTATCAGCAKCTACGCCTGCGCGAACGCCCCTTTGGTCACCAATCCCACCAACCAATAACGGCGAGAACCCTAAAGATCCTATATTCTCATACGCAAATCTAGAGAAATACGAAATATGACCATTATGATTCTTTATTTATGCACTTTATGCTATATTTATTAATAATTCTCATAGATATTTTATCTTTTAGGATATTTCACTACAAATGTAAATAGTAGAAAAGTTAAAATAATTCAAAAAATTGGTTTATTTGATGATCCTTGTTTTACAAAGCGTATAAGCACGACCCTTATTGGAGTTTAACAACATATCTCAAAATGAAAAAGGGTGCGTCGTGATAAAATCTAATCATGAGAAGGAATAAAAGAAGGAATTGTTTCACTTCACAACCTCGCTCCTAGTSCCTTATCCCTTTGCTTTGACCCCAARCGAAAGTATAAAGGTCTGGGAACGAGGTTGTTCACTTCATTGCTCTCATTAGAATTTTTTCAAGCTGTATACGCTTTTATAAAACGTGGATCTTGGATCAGGGATCTCCGACATTACACTTCTAGAGTTACTACCTGATCGAATGAATCTAATGAGATTAAAAGACAAATATGTATGGGCTACCGATGCCTAAGGCATGTTACACAATCTGTCAGAGGATAAAAACCTACGTTTTTAACTAAAAATGGCCGCCATCTTGAATTTATTTGTTTTCAGCAACAAAAATATTCGCGATAATTTCAAGATTTTAAAGTTTTCAGGTTTTCATTTCATAAACATTTGTCCGCCTTTACTGAAYGTACCCATTAATGCACCATCTTAGATTTTTCCAATTCAAGAAATTCAATTCTCTGACAAGAACAGCTAAATTGTATTGAGAAAATATACCATATATTTTGGATTGGCTTACTCGAATTCCGACAATTCAAGATGGCCTCCGTGTAGGTAAAAATTTTTTTTAGTCCGCTCGTCTCACTCCAGSTTTGTCAAAATCTGACTAAATTTACCAGTCACTTCTTCTTTAGCATCGTCCTTATTCGCGAAGACTGATGGGAAGGATTTGGTGAGCTCGTAATGCACCAAGGGAAGGTCAAACGTCTTTGCTGTTTTTGTTTTTTTGTTTTTCAACAACCACTTCAAGCAAATCGAAAAAAATAGCGCAACGACTGGGTTTTGAGTTTGACATTTTGCATGACTAACAAATGACATTTCTAAGGTTTACAAACAAGAGYATTGCTAGTTTATTCTAGGCATTTTTAATTTAGATATAAGATCGGCAGCTTTCAGCGTCGGTGGTATGAACAATAGACATTCGTGAGAAAACTTTTGTTGAATTTCCCCCAACATGGCTGCCGTAAAGTCAACTCAAAAAAAGCATGTTAAMAAAGCTGGATGTAATGAGAAGAGTTTAGAAGTCTTGTAAGAAGTTTTCAGYTTCTTTGGATGTGAATCTCTAAACGAAGAACTATAACAAATAGACTTTGACTGATACAGTCATGGTTGGATGCAGTGGGACCATCTCTATAATACTTAAGCTCCTCGTTATAATCAGAGCACCTCCCTAATACGACCACAATACCTCCACAAAACGAACCCTTRAGGACAGCACTACACCACGGGCATTTGTCCAAAACGGAACAATGACATTAAAACACAGAACACTTATTACAAAAACACCTCTATAATACGAACCCTTACATCTCTAGAACAMGGGCTCCTATTTTGATTCATAAGTRAACCTCCATAACAMGKGYATGTTCGGAAASGAACACCTTTACATCTTAATTAAAGCTAATTCTAGTAATTTAACATGAACATAATGCAAGCACCTCGAGCACTGAAAGCCGAGTTAAACATTGTATTTACAGTCATAAATATGTCTTTATATCCTCTATGAAGGGATTGTTCTATTGGTTCCCGTGGTGTACCACTGCATTGTATAAACAAACCAGCGTGCAGCAGCAACACTGCACATTGGATAAAGTATCTGATTTCAAGAGTCTGTATTTTTGTAATAAATAATTCAATGAATATTAAAACTCGCTGGATTAAACTAATAAAATCGAAATATATTTACTTCTTTYGAAATTCATTTTGTCCTTCGCTACAATGCACAAATTGTCACAAATAGAAATAGAAGAAATGCTTTTCACTTGCGATAAAATAAAACGAATTTACAGCAAATTCACTACTGTTTCACGACGCGAACTGCATTGTGGAATTCAGACCCTTCACAACAGCGAAGGGTCTGGGAACAATAGAATTTTTTTTCAGAAATTCATGCGTCGAGGATAAAAACGTTATAAATGCGAGATATTCAGCAGCCTTGGTGTAGCCACGTTTTCGCGTGTTTAGGACGTTCTTCCTCGGCTCCAGAAAGGAGGAGGRCTTGTAGGCTCAGTCGGYAGCTCCTCCTCGCTATCAGCTCTCATCCCAGGCTTAAGSGACGCGCGTGTTAATCCCCAGAACTTTGAAGGAGTCAACCCTTTCTTTACTGAAGTGAATCGCCAACCGAGGTGATTAACACACTGTTGACACTCGGCTATTGTCCATGCGTACCTGATACAGTAAGCACGACGTGAAAGCCTGATCATTGGGCTTCCTGTTGCCACAGGAAACCCCTTTGCGCCGGGTCCACAAGCAAGAAACTGGTGGGTAATGATTACTGGCCTCCTTGTTGCTTAAGGAAACCCATATGCGCCGTCCCCAATAGCCTTTTAGTTTCATGCGCACATTATTGATTMATACAATCTTGAAATTCGATATGAAAATCTGATGGCTGACCTGCCTTTTGCCTACAGGAAAGCAAAGAGCACTTGGTCCACAAGCAATGCCTTTTAGCACTCAGGCTGAGCGAATAGCTAAATCGAGAACAACCTGTCATAAAAGTCTGATAATTCGCCTCGTTGTTGCCGGGTCCACTGTAATATACATAAGGCATTTCCTTGTTGTTATTGCATATATGCCCTGTTTCACAAGAAATGCTATTTTCCTTTCAACAGGTTTTAGAGCGCAGCATTTTGYCCTGAGTTTTACGCAGCATCATATCAAAAAACATGAAACATAGTCTACAACGAAACTCTTAAAATAGTCTATAAACATACCCTGGAAACCAGCTATTCTCAGCTGTTGGGCGCCCTCTCAGCCTCACTCCTGTGGCTTTATAGAATGTCAGTGTTTCATGCACCCACCCATGTGGATTGACGTAGGCAGCCAATGGACCGTCTAGGGACATACTAATGACAACGATATAACTTTATTAATATAAATATTTATCATGTAATTATCTATGAAATACCTATATTTCTCCATTACGTGAAATTGATATTTTCACTAGTGAAAATAACACATTCGAGGTTTCTCTATATAGTGGAAGTAAGAAAAAAGGTATTTTGCTTTCATATTTAATTAATTATATGATAAACAGAATATTACATGGTCGCTTGGAGATACAAATTTTATCTTCTCGTGTTGAAAATCTCTCACTCGTTCACTACGCTCACTCGTGAGAGATCTTTCAACACTCGAAGATAAAATTCGTATCTCTGCGCGCCCATGTAATACCCTCTATTTAATCAATGCTAGGCACTCATTAAAGCGGTCTATAATTTCTATTAACCACATAACCATGTATATTTGAAAATTAATGATCTGATTGGATGATGTCGAGTTTTCTCCGGTCACATTTTTGCGAATGTTACTAGTTAATAACTTTAAACGTAAAAATAAAGCAAAAGTACAAAAGAAAACGCCGAAATTCAATTTGATACTAGTATTAGCGGCAGAATTTAGTTAAAAAAGACGAATTTTATTCAGTGTCCAGACAAAACAAAGAAGAAAATCGCTGCGCTCGGTGTGTACTTCCGGACCGCGGTCTTTATTTAGACCGCGCACTCGGTTAATAAGACCTTGATAATAGGCTTTTATCAATCTACCTACCAGAATAAGTCTGTCTTGTATGCAATAGTTGAATTGCAGTCTCTACAACACAAAACACTGCACTGGAAAGAGAAAAAATACGGAATACTTTACCACCCCTCCAGGAAGACACTTTCCATAGGCATGAACCTCACACAAGCAGACAATACTRAAAGTTAGCACAGGTCTTCCCACAGATATCTTTAACTTACAAGAGATTCAAGCTCCATCTAGTCTTAAAGACTTACTTTGTGCATAATGTCCAGTTCTTTTCGTAATCTTTGTGTTGTGCAGTCAATRTTTAGCAATTCAATCTTTAGTGTATCATCCAAAGGTAGATTAGCAGCTACCCAGTATGAGAAATCTAAAACATGGTCAGAGAATTTTGATTTTGGAAATAATACTGCATTAGATTATCTGCGTATTCAAGCTTACTTTTACTACAACAGATCTTTTATGTGCAAAAGGTTAAAGGGAGGAACCAGGGAGGGGCAAAGGGGTGCTGGACCACCTAGCCCCTCCCTACCCCTCTGAGAAGCTAACTTTTTTTATTATTATTATTTCAAATCTGTTTATAACAAATAAAGGCCATTTAGCTTGCCAAAAAACCCTTGAGGTTATGCATAATATACACATGTCAATTATAATTTCATTGAGTAACAACTAATAACAAAGAGTAATCATTGCTGGGWAGAATTGGGCTTCCTTTGGCAATATGTGCCAGAGATTGCTATAGTAACAAACTTTTCCCCTGGGACCCAATCCTTTTGAAAAAATGACACAGGATAAAGTGATTGGCACATTTTGTATTCTTTGATGTATACAGGAGTAAGATAATTTAGCATTTACATATGGGACAATATATCTCTTGACAATAGGGTTTGCAGTATACCCCTTTATTATATCAAATGAAAATATAACAGCTTGGCTATTTCTCACTAGTACAAAAGGGTGTCCTTTCTAAGCCCCTAATGCATATATCCCATAAAGTTTACAATTTGTACCTATTGGATCTGCTGGTACATTCTCCAGTCTGATAGTTTGGCTCCATCTTTGTAATTCAAGCTTTATTTCATCCATCAAACGAAACTACATGTAGGATAAATCATTCAAGTGAAATGTTTACACAAAAAGAAGATATATTAAAGCATAAAATTCAGATTATATATACACCAATATTTGCATATTAGCAGTGTTTTAAAAAATATATACAATTGACTTCATTAGCCTTTTTAAATATAAAATGTACAATGATGACAAAACCAAAACTCAATAAGTTTTTTGATATGTCAAAAGTCAAAAATTAAACAAGAACAAAAGACACAATTTCACCAACTGGATCGTAGAGCTTGTAAACCCAAGCGGGCCAGCTACTCAAGCTTGCGTTAATCTGAATAACACAAAAATATAACATTTACAACCTTTATGAATGAAAAACAGTTAATCTTGTTAATTGCCCTACCTTTTTCTTTCTTGATGAACCCAGTCGTGATTTACCAGACGTTTGTCGATACCTCTCTAAGCTACCACTGCAGGTTGCTTGGCAACCAAAYTTGTCAAAACATGATGCCAAGGCTTTTTCAGGATGTGGTGAGAGGAGAATCTCAGGCAAAATATTAACTGTTGCTTGCAAAATGCTGTGAGAGGAACAATATTATTACTAATTGAAGAAATCCTTGTATATAGCCCTAAGGGGACTGGTAAGGGCTGAGTAGTGATAGGGGAGGGCAACAATCTCCAAGGGGACCTCCCCAGTCCCCTTATGACACTAGTGCTTAAAGATTGTTTTCCTTCTAAGGGAAGCATACTTTTAGCAAAATGCTGAAAAAGAAAACATCATGCTATGAATAATAGCCATTTTGGGTCCATTTTGCCCTGTAATTGGCTTAGGTTACTATTTGAAAAAGCAAAAATGTCCAGACCATAAAAACTATATGGATCACAAAAATCACTTTTGCACATTTTAAAGACATACTAAATAGAATAAAATAAACATAAAATAAACTACCAGACAGTACAATGTTTTGCTTGTTTTAAGCATACCCATCAACTTGAGTCCTGAGACTCAATATTTTGAATCTCTGCCTGCCCATGGCTTTGATGGTTAAAGTGGTAATTCCTGCTTCAACTTCTTCTTTCCTTGAAAATATCTCAACCGTAGTACCAACTTTTCCTTGAAGTTCACTCATAGACCTAACCATAGAAATGATAACATACTAATCTAAGATAAAATATTATAGGTGTTGTATTAATTAATTATATTTTTAATTAACAGCAGTTGTTCATAACTGAAAAATAATTGTCAAAAGCAAAACTTGTCCTTATAGTCAAGTTATTGAGATGTAGTTGTTTCAGTTTTCTAGGTTTTGCTATTATACTGGTTAGCAAATACACAGTCAAATATATTAGAGTGGATTTCGTATGAGTGGGACACCGTTAACGCACGGTTACCGCACAGTTACCGGATCTGGCCTTCACAATTTTGGTGAAACAATGGGGCACTAGAATTTGGTTACAGTACGATTACGGTCACAGTACAGTAACGTCCGTTTCCCACTCATACGAAATCCGCTCTAATCTACTGCAAGAAGGAAACATTACAGTACAAAATTGGTCAATAATAAARGCGCTTTGAGATCATTCGATTCTATGATGAAGCAAAATATTACGTATATATAAAGACACTGTTGTTTTCTTTGATGGGATGTCATGCTTATAGTTCATGATTTCATGATTTTGGAAATCATTCCTAATGTATATAAATCATAAAAATATACATTAGGCTCGTCTCCTCAGTGCTTTGATGGACAGGTCTTACCTTCCCTGTACCAAGCCAAATGTTCTGTCTTTATCAATGACGTTTTGCATCATTGTGACAAACTGGTAATAGAATTTAAAACCAAAGGTGAGTAAAATCATGGTAACCAAGACAGCAGCAACATTTGATTCACAGCCTTCATTTTACTATCACTAACAGAAGGCTCTGCATATTTTCTTTCTTATTCAGATTATTATTCAYTTTGAAGATTGGTAAAACAATTGGGACTAATTACGTTACAAAACAAAGAGTGCAAACCATTTTGGTCTTTGTAGTATGTTAATGTCATCATGCAAATTGCCCACTGTTGGCATGAGCTTGCAATATTATTGACAGAAGTGGTATAATCACTCTCACCTTTACTCTTTTAGCCTAGATCTAAACTCAAGACAAACCTGTGATTGGAAGAGATGTAATGGTATGGTTTGTCCTGGTACTAGTACCACAGTTGGAAGTGGCATAAGTGGTAATTCAATGACTTGTCCTGGCTCTATCACTGTTCTTCCACTGAACTCATCCATTTCTTCACCAAGATACTAAAACACAAAAACATATCATTTAATGTTCAATTTAATTTGAATAAGAATGACAATTTTACATTTATGACATCATGTCAAAAAGAGGACATAAACAGCAAAAAAAAAATGTGTGATGTTATTTACAACAGTTATAGTCTAAAATTAGTGAAAATATTTTTTTCTGTCAAAGAAGCATGCACATGAGATGTGATATTGTCAATACAATGCAATACAATACAATATTTTTTCATTTTGTGTCTTAAGTACAAAGATGATTACAAAATTTAAAATTAAAACTAATTTACGACACATGCTAATTGTAACAGGTAGACTGATTAAAAACAATTAGCAACTATGTTAAAGTACAATGTCAGCATGGACGGTTATGTCCTCTTAGTTACACACTCAAATCAGCCAATCAGTGCACAGAAATTTTCACAAGTGTGGTAAAAACAATCATTTCCAAATTCATGTGCTCTTGATGATATGTTTTAACACTGTTGACAATCTTCCCTTATAGATGGTATTTACATGCACTATGCACTTCATAGAAGTACAGCTCCATGCCATCTGGGGAGTTCAAAATGACAGATTTTAGTTCTGAGTAGCCCARAAATCTTTTATTTTGTCCCCCACATAGAACTTCTATACTGTTAGATGCAGTACATCTATATGAACGTCAATGTCATTTACTTGTTGCAGAATAAYAGCTCATTGAATTTGTCTGTGAAGGCAAACAATTGTACATTCTAATAATGTATAAATATTTCTGCATTTACTTGATAATAAGACCTGTAGCTTAACTATAATCATAAATGCAATACAGAAACGTCATAAAAAGTGTGTAAAGATTCTTCACTAATCGTAGATTAACACGTGCAATATGTCACCTGGTGTCTCGTTGGAATTGCTGGATCGTATGTAATACTAATAGGCCTCGAAGAATCATCGCCATCTGTTGCAGCTAGTAGAAAACAGAACAAAAATATCACAAAATAATTCCTTATTGTGTCTTTTCAATACAACGATGTACTAATATCTATATTATCTACTTTTTCCGGAGGATTTTTTAAAACATTTTGAATTAGCAACGTCTAAAAATTCCACAAGTCAAGATACGAAAGTCGTGAATTTTGCAAATCAAAGGTTAGAATAAAACAGAAAATTCATATAGAATGGTCCACCACTTACTGTCAGAGCTACTACTATCTGTTTCAGCCTCGTCTGACAACTGCAGCTCATCAAATCGGTCGTAGCCATTCTGGTAGTCCTCTTCTTCCTCACCTTCGTCGGCCATGTTTGTTTTGATCTAAATGTCTCGTGGCAATGGATTATGGGTAACCCTTTTTTTTGGCGCGCATTTATATTTATGTTTTCCATCAAATCAGGTCATTTTGATTTTTAACCGCTATGGTTTTCTTCTATTTTCTTTTACCCTTTTTTCCTGAATATTGCCTTCTTATATAAATAAACATAATGTGTTCGAAGCAGTGCTATTCAGTACATACTGAAATGTGCTTAGCAGAGAATCTCTATTTATTTTTTAAGCTTTTGTACTTCATTAACAGTTGTTTTCACAAAATGCATCTATTATGAATTTATTATGACATAGCGGAGCGTAAAGTATTTCCAAATTATTCTCGTGCCAGGGCCCATCGGTCTCAAATGTCAAGGTGTGATTAGCCAATCACAGCTCGATTCGTAACTCCTGTTCAATCGTCCAACAGGAGCAAAACACGAGCTCGACTACCAAGAAATTTTGAAAACTGGTTTGAAAATCGCTCCGATTACAGCACTTATACWTTTAGTGAATGCCGTCAAGGAGCTCAACTTAAACAGGAATAGAATTTCACGGTTACTACGGAATATCGTCATGAATTACGAACAATTTATCGTTCTAACTACAGCGGCTTTGAGTATTCTGGCAGCGGATTTGAGCTTCGCCAAAAAAAGCTACTACGAAATTCTTGGTGTATCAAGAAATGCTTCAGATAGACAGATCAAGAAAGCCTTTAGGAAACTTGCTGTGAAATACCATCCTGATAAAAATAAAAGCAAAGACGCTGAGGAAAAGTTCCGCGAAATAGCACAAGGTTCGTAATGGAACGGTCTGGAACGGTGTGACACGATCGATGTTTTGTGCAACGATCAACTTCCGTTTCGTCATTACCTAATCATTGTACTTTGTMTTCTCAACTTGCCTATTAGTATAAATACTTTCTTTGATATTTACTCTTACTTAAATGAGTATTTTGATTTGTTATGCGTGAATTTAACCTTTATAGARATTGAGTTTGATAAATATTAGGTAACGGCCAGTAGATTCATTTTGGACACATGCACTACCTGTCTCAATATAATTGACTTATTAAAATCTTCGACCTCAAGTATACCGAAAATTTGAAGGTTTTTCTGGTAAAATTCGTAATATTATGTAAGAGTTTATTTTTATTCTCGTATTGTACAAATTTACAGCAAATTTAAGTAAAGTTACATCATTTGAATACGTTCTGTTTGCACAGTTGTACAGTTTTAAACATTGCATTGCGATTTTTCATGCGAAATTTTTGGATGTTWATAAATGTATCACCTAAATTTTCTTCCTCAGAACTAAACCGAAAATGAAAACGTCTATGAAAATTATAGTGCATACATTCAGTGATTACATATTATATAAGTAAAACAAGCTGCATTTACTTTGTACAGCTGATTATATTAGATTAAGTTTATTAATTACCTCGCATTGCAACGTGTTTTAATTTTGTACACTTTTCCATCGTTATCGGTAGATTTTCACATATTTGTTACTGTCAGCAATTTAAACATTTCTGGTTGAATACCCTTCAAATGTTTACAAGTAGTTTTGGTGACGTGGTTGATCATGCATTGAGACCACAAATCTCGATCACGTTATAAAAGTTAGCAATGATATCAGAGAGAGAAACAACTGTCTTTACCAGGGGTCAAGGGATATTTGCCAAGTAACGCTTCCCATCACTCTCTCTTTTTGAGATGAATGAAGTTGCATCTGATATTCCTTGGCTTGGACTACGTTTCTCTGAAATGTCAGACATTTGGRAGTATACTTTTCTGTTTCCTATTATGCAAAATAACTGAAGGGAAAACAAAGAATGCTACTCCTCAAGGGCTCTTAAGTATAAGGTTTACACTTTCACAAATTATCAACATGTACCAGATATTTTTCACTAAATGTGAACTCTATTATTCTACAGCATATGAAGTTTTATCTGATGAAAAGAAAAGACAGCAATATGATCAGTTTGGAGAAGAAGGACTTAATCAAAATGGATTTCATGGAGGTGGCGGTGGATTTGATTTTAGTGATTTCTTCAGTGATTTTGGTGGTGGAGGAGGACATAGGTCAGGAGGAAACGGCCACAGGTTTTCTTTTGGTGGTTTTGATGATTTTTTYCATGACGATGAGGAAGATGAGGAAGATGATGGCTTTGGTGGAATGCATTTTGGTGATTCATTTTTCRGTGGAGGTGAACATTTCAGACAAAACAGATTTAATGATGGGTTTGGAGAATCCTTTCACAGAACAGCAAGACATTCTGAATTCCATCAATCCAGTGGATCAGGTATGACTTTGGGTTTTGTTTTAACAGAAATGTATGGAAATTAAAAGTTCAAAGCAAAAGAAAAAAGAAAATAAAAATATACTCTCCCATCCTAAACCCCCCTCTTCTTGGCAATAATTAATGAACAGTCCCTTGCATTCGTAGAAACTTTAGCACTATTATTAACTTATTCCATGGTCCATGGTTTTAGTGTTTGCATGCTATTGCATCATTAAATACTGTACCATTCTGCATGTACAGTTACATGATGGACATATCTTGAGTGGTTTAAACCAAGGTTTCCTTACCAACAGAGAAATATTATCAATTAAAGTTGTTTATTTACTTTCACAGGTCATAGTGGTAGAAGTTGTAGRACAGTAACAAGAAGAGTTGGCAATATGGTTACAACATTCACAGAATGYACATAGCTATAACTAAAGACTAATGAAGAAATTATTGCAACAATCACATAACTCACCTTTAAGTAGAAAGCACTGATTAAAGGAAAACAAAATTTGTACTTTGTTTTCACTTTTTCCAGCACTATATTTGAAACCTTAAGATTTCAACAGGAACAAGGATGGTTGAGYGGTGCAAGTTCATTTAGCAATATGTTTTCTCTGCACACAGTACAAAAAATATTGTGGTTGCTTCAGTATCAAACCAAATATTAACTGGAGTTACAGCTRTGGGGTTAGCCTGACCACCATTGGCTGGTTGTACACAGAATGAATACTGTTTTCTAACAGCTATAAAAGCTTTATCCAGAGCATAAAAGCCATGTATATAAAGTGGAGTGGATATCTTTATCCACCCTGTGTACAACTGGCCCCTGGTGTTACATTAATTTTAATTTTTGGATCAATTCAATATAGGTCACTGGGCTTACTGTGTTAGCAAAACCTGCTTCAAAAATGCTTCAAAAAATTGAAAACAATAGAAAACAAACAAATGAGAAAGGGGCCTCAGGATTCAATTCACCTGAATTCAATTTGTGCTGCAATAGCACATTTTATTAGTGTACAGTACTTGAGAGGTCACAATTAGCCACGGTTTGTCCAGATGTGACTCAGGCTAGGTCACAATATATACACAGAAAGCCCAGAATCCTACATTCTCCTCAAATTTAAACTAAAAAGAACACCTGCTCCACAAGAAAGTGTGGAGTGCACATGAAACGTCTACTAACTTGTGTCCTCATCCATTGTCCATGTTCCAGTTGTCAATCTTAAGKTACTTCCTGTTATCAATCTGAGGTGTCATGTAGAATATTTAAGAATATCACAGTGAACCTCGCCCAATATTCTCTAGTAGTGCTGGGTCTTACATAATATTTTCTAAAACCATTTTATTTCCTTTAATAGCAATGTTGCTTTCAAAACTAAAAGATGTTTATTACAAAKAAATTTTGTACATAATACAATTAAATGTTTTTGCCCATGACATGTTTTATATTTTGTATCTTCTTACACTCCATGCAACTGGGATTATTACTTGTAGAAATGGTTGAATGTGCTGGATATCCACTTTTTGTACAGCCAGGGGCTCTCCCCTTCAGGGGGAGGAAGCGCCGTAGCTACAATCATGCAAGCGAGGCAAACTTGCCTCGGTAAAATTTTATCGAGTTTTCTTTAATTCATATCCAAAATAAAAAGGTTTGATCAATGGTGTAAGATAAAAAAGTCACAATATGCTTGGCAAAATGCTGGAAATCACATTTCTGAGTGTCTGAATTTAAAAATGTTTCAGGGAATGATGCCTGTGAAGCCCCTAGATACGACCGCTTCTGCCAGTCGCGTAAAGTGCCTTGGTTAACATTTTCCTCTGGCTATGGCACTGGGAGGGAAGGTCAAAACAAACAAAACCACCCTTGGGCCCTGGATGTTTGTGATTTTAAGTGGTTGTTACTCTTAATATCTGTACAGTAGCCAGCAYCTCAGGCTCTCACTTAGTGTCTTCAATGCTTAAGTTAACTGTCTGTACAATTCACTTCATGTACAAACAACAAAATACTAGCTTTACGAMACAGTAACTGCAAAATTTGGCAACCAACTTGAAACAATTTTTTTTTTTTTTGCAATGCTATACCAAGTGTGTTGCCTTGTTCATATATTATCCACTTTGTCTTATTTTCCTAGCATGTAATACATACTAATCCTAGGTAGAGTCCTGTAGTTCGTCTAAATTTGGCAGCCAGAAAGCCTGAAAAATAACATTTCAAAATTACATTTATTACACTCCAAAACCTTCAGAAAAGTGTGTGTTAAACAAGTGTGTTTTACAGCAATAGATACATGAAAAAANAAGTAAAAATAAATTATACAATATATTTGGTAAATCAACACGCAGATAGCGACTTTAAGTTTCATGTTTTACACAGTCATCAGGCTTTGAATCAGTTTTACATAAGCACGTTATTTATACTATGGCTACTAAGTACAATTCCCATGGGATTTTAAGGTCGCTAACAGGAATTTGTTCTTGTGGCAGCACTTTGAGATAAGTTYGACTCTTTTGTTCAAAAGCGTGTCAATGTTATTTTTGTTGATAGTTAGTTTTTATGTCAGACACAGGGTCACATCATCTCAAGCCACATAAAAAATATACAGTGTACCGTATATCTGTGTGACCAACACTTGATGCTAATAAATATTAGTGATTTTCAGACAGCTAAAAGTCCAAAGTTGAATCATCTTACCATATTTGTACATGCACTGGCAAGCATCATAAATTTAGGATTGAATGCAATGCACTTTGTAGCCCCAGGATGGTTTCCTTCTAATGTTGTGATCTTATGGCCACTGTCTGATGCCCAGATATGAATACGACCATCTTGTGATCCTACATGTTAACAAAACAGTCATTAGATTTTTATTTTAMGTTCATGTCTCCTGCTGGTTCCCTCCTGCTGTGTGATTCTTCATTGCAGTGTTATGGAAACTTCTAGTGRTAATTATACTGTATATCTGCCTTGTTTCTGTTCCAAACAAATCCTACAATGCTTTGCGTATACTTGTACATGACATAAAACTTCAGACGTCTATTTGAACATTGGAATTGTCTCGTTAGGTGGACAACTTTTTCAAGATTAGCTGAGAGTATGGCCAAGTCACTGAAAATATTTTGAGTTTTCTAAGTTCTGAAAATAAAGGCCTGTCATCATAACAATTAGATCCCACTGGATATTTTCATTCAATCCTAAGCTGTCCACTCTTTGGAGTCACACTTTTGTGTGAATTTTCATTACTGTAATCATTTTTTTAAAAAGCACAAAAATCATATACAAATTACCTGAGATGACATACTGGGAGTCTGGACTGAAGCAAACATCTATTGAACTACCTTTCAAAAATGCATGTCCCTGTGAAAATTAATGTTCATTGGTCAGTACAACACAAAATACATATACAATCATTTAGATACAGAAATATTTTTTTGAAATTGCATAGCACTTTARCAATTTCTGAAAAAAATATTGCCGATRATATCCCATAATTTCTGATTTATTTTACAAATACTTGAAATATGAGCAAAAATGGTCATAATTTCTGCATATTGCTATATGTACTATGCACATATTATAATAATAATTATCGACTGAATTCCCAAAAGTTCYCCTCATGGAACYGCTGTGCACACCCCTGTATYATTKTCRCACTTTTCACACATGTACTCACAGAGAAAGTATGCAGTTGGTTGCCTTGGAAAGCATCAATCAAGTGAATCATTCCAGCATTGGTTGCGACAAGAACCATTTTACCATCAGAACTGAACTTGATACTTGTCCATTCTGACGAAGGGTCAGTTTGAATGTGAAACGTAGAAAATGGACCCTGAAAGATAAGAACAAATTTAATAGGCGATTTTACAAATGAACACAAGGTGACTGTTGTAAGACTACATTTGAACATGTTCATGAATGCAAATAATATGGTGTCTGTGAATGGTGCTTGGCCATGTGGGGTACATGTAGACCCACAGGTCATTATAGTCTGATTACTGGTCTGACTAAGACAGCAATAGTGTCTGGTTAAGATGGCTATGGTGTCTGGTAAAAAGATTGACTTAGAAGGCAGTAGTGTCTGATTAACTGATGGACTAAGACTGCCATTGTGTTGGGTTATAAAATGATTGTCTTAGACAGCAAAATGTCTTGTTAGCAGATGAACTAATACAGTACCTTATCAAATGACCTCAAGTCATAAAGCTTGATCATTTCGCAGTCTATTCCAGCCGCAAATATAAGACCTTCTGGATCAAATGCTGCCACAGGTCTTCCATTTACATGCATCAGACCCTATTGGAAAGGTTTAACAAACACTAAGTATTATAAACATATTTCTGCATTTAATGACAAGTAGCACAGAGAAGAAGAATTCTCCTCTTTTGGTCTATTTATATTATATAATAATAAAAAGTGGTCTGTTTTAGTATAAAATCTACTAAACTACTTAATGATGTACAGCAATGTATATTCCATACCTGACAATTAGGAGACCTTAAGTCCCATATTCTGAGGGTCTTATCCAAGGACCCTGATAARAATGCATCCTCTATTGGAGACATATGAAGAGTGGTCACCCTGTGTAAGTAAATGTCCCAACATTYTATTTATCATACTTAATATTTATTTATCTTTATCAATGAAATAGTAGAATTCAATCAAAACAATGTAAATACCTTTTTGTGTGTCCTGGAAAGTATCTCAAATACTTATTGTCATGTAATGAAAGATATCGGATTGTATCTGAATTGAATGGAAAATACATCAACAAGTGAAGTGATMGGCTGATTGAGGGCAAAGAGTCTTGTTTACTATTTGACTTAGACGGCAAAGTGTCTGGTTCACTGTTTGTCTCAGACAGCACAGAGTCTGGTAAACTGAACTGTAATGACTAGATGGCAATAATGTCTGGTAAACTTCTTATTGACTAAGATAGCAATAATGTAATACTTGATAACTTTTGTTAGAGACAGTTCTCCAAAACCTTATTATTTTACTCTCACCATTATGGCTCATAAGCAGAACTGGACGAAAAAAAATGCCAAAATGTACTTTCATAAGTAAATAACTAACAGAAATTCTAAAAATTGTGAGAATGGCCATTCCCATTTATAATAATTGTACATCTTGGGAATAACCTTTACCAAAATTTTGAAGTTGTTCTATTCTTTATGTTTACATTTCAATCGAAATTGTCTTAAACAGGCTCTACAATCAGATACAAAACCGATATAATTTTTTTTTTGTGTCTTGAACAGGGTAATATTTTCATAAAAACACCGTTTCACTGTAGCAGGATTAACATGTTATCAGAAACTTCCTTATGGTCTTTGATTGATGTCAGTATAAATGCAGTTTTGATGCTTACGGCGTAGATAGCGATTCCTTATTTTTCCGATTTGTCTTGAACAGGGTATGGACTTTCTAGTGTCTTAAACAGGGTAAGGGTTTTAGACCGCTGGCAGCACGTACCTATCCAAAACGGGGTCGAGTACCCCCCCGGGCTGGCCAGCTATAGTTGTACATGTAAATTGTACAACTATACTTCATCAGTACCAATCCAAAACTTACCATCAACTTTTGTTGAAGTATGAATAACTGTGTTTGGTGCATGAGTGAACTGGATGTTGGACACTCCATACTTTTTACTGAATGTAGTTTTCTTTGGCCTGTAAGATACATTTAGTCATTAATAGAACATCACCAAGAAAGTATTTCGTGGAGATCAAAGGATAACAGAAAACCATGCAGGCAAAGGATACAATACTAACCCTAAACCTACATGTATGGTCTGTCCTGTGTCTTCATCACAAAATTCAAAGTTCAATACTTGTTTCCTTAAACCGGCGTTTACATAAGCAATTTTTCCTTTACAAGTTTCTTGACAAGGAAAAATTGCCCGTGTAAATGGTCAACAAGTTTTCCTCGACAATTCTTCCTTGACAATGTTTCTTTGCTAGGGTAAACGAAGAACAAGTTTTCCTTGACAAGGAAAAATTGCCAATGTGAATGGTCAACAAGTTTTCCTTGACAATTCTTCCTTGCCACATTTTCCTTGTTGTCCATTTACGCGAGCAAGGAAAGCKAACATGTTGGCTTTTCCTTGACAAGGAAAAATTGTCCATTTTAACCCATTTACACGAGCAATTTTATCAAGGAAAACTTGTMAAGGAAAAATTGCTCGTGTAAACTCCGCTTAAAGGAAAACCAAGTGGATCCAAACAGTGAGCAAAAATACTAAACACACAAAACGCAGGTTGCCGTTACATTAGCTATGACTAAAGTGAACTTAATCTTTATGTTAACATTTAGTTGATTGTCTGACACTGTATAAAGCCTTACTTTCCATCAACAGCATCATAGATAACAATAGAATCATCGTTACTACTTGTAATTAAACTCTCGCCATTGGCAGAGAAGCACATATAGTTCACATAGTCACTGTTTTCTCTAAAAACCTTTGCCACRCGAAACGCACGCAGCACGTTGTCTTGAAGCTTCATTTTTAACTTTTCTTCAAGAGGACGCCATCTTGAAAATAGACTCCAAGCTCCCTCAATRAAATCTACCACAGGGATACCACAACATAAATAAAAWWWKGGRARGGRAWTTKGRAMRRWTKRAWWRRAAAAWKRAARKKKTT